GGAGCTTACAATCGCCTGCCCGACAGTGACCTCCTCCCAGAGGTGTCCCCCGCCCCAGGTGACCGTTCTCCCGCTGGTGTCTCTGTCGGTGGTGGCCGCTCGCCGGCCCGTATTATGGTGGACGTGTTGGTCGGGCGGCGCCTGGTGACCCGCGAGGGCGCCACGGTGGAGGCCGAGGTGGCGCTGCAGAACAAGGTGGTGGCTTTGTACTTCGCAGCGGGCCGGTGCGCACCTAGCCGCGACTTCACCCCGCTGCTCCGCGAGTTTTACACGGCCCTGGTGGGCGAGGCGCGGCAGCCAGCGCCCTTCGAGGTGGTTTTCGTGTCGGTGGACGGCAGCGCGCAGGAGATGCTGGACTTCATGCGCGAGCTGCACGGCGCCTGGCTGGCCCTGCCCTTCCACGACCCTTACCGGCAGTGAGTGCGCGCAAGCAACCGCGTAGCCCGCGCCCCCCAGGAATCCCCTCCTGCACCCGGCTCACTTTCGGTCGTCCCTCCCCAGCTCCTTCCCCGCTTTCCCTTCCAGTAGGTCCGTGGCGGTGACAGCCTCTGCTCCAACTTTCCCCAGCTCTCCCGACCTGCACAGGGCATTTCCCGGGCTTTTGGGGCGTGGGCCCTGGGCCACCTGCCTTGGGGTTCCTAGCTCTGCTGCGGGCGCGGGATTACTGCCTTGGAGGTCTGAGCTGTTAGGGCACCAGGGCTGGAGAGACACAGGTGCTTATGACTTTCAGGATTTTGTTTTTTATCCTTGCTGATGGAATTTCATAAGTGTAAAGATGTAAAAATCATTACTGTAAATGCTTTGAAAGACCCAGGTGTAGGAGAGGTCGGAGATGACAGCAGTCTGCTCTCTGAAGGGATCTGGAGGACCCTTGTGGTTGAGCCTCAGCTCTGCTGGACTTGTGCCAGAGCGCTGTTAACTTCTCCCTGTGGAACTCAGCTTGGAGAAGCAGGGAGGACTGGGGGTTCTGAGAGTGGAGTGGCAGGGGTGTTGGTTGCTGGGGCCGGTGTGGGGGCTCTAGTGCCCTGAGTGGAAAGTGAGTTGAAATCACACTCCCAAAGCATGACCTAGCCCCTCCCTTCCTCGTGTGGATGGGTACTGCTTGAAGTCTACCTCTGGTTCATTCTGTTATGGTGTTACCACCAATATTAATTACTGCAAGATGACTTTACTTTTTTCTGGAAAAGGAAAATATAAATTTATGTTCAGAAGGGATGTTGCTTAACTGGAGAGGAATGTGAGGCCTCAAACCCTGAAGAAAAGGCTTCTTGACAGTGAATCTATAGTGGTGCCTGATTGACTTTGCATAAGGATTCTTTTCAGTTCTCTGGCACTCAGTTGTGTGCAGCTTTTGAAAGGGCACACTTGTTTTGAAGGTGAGACGTGGTAGTTGAGTAATTAGTCAGCACCTTAGGTCCCGGGAGAGGCGGGCCTGGGATGCCCTGGGGAAGGTGGGCAGGTGTTTAATTGTTTGGCATCTTGTGCCATCAGGTAGTTTGTCCAGAGGGTTGGCCTGGTTTTGAAAGGGCTCCTTGAAGTTTGGGGAGGCCATGGGTCAGCATCCTGATCTTCTGTCCCATTTCAGAGACATGCAGGTGCTGTGCACAGTCTGTTCTGACTTGGGCCATCTTTTTGCCCCAGGCCATTTCTCTGAGGGCTCAGTGAACCTCATATTCCAGGGGCTTCCAGGTTTCTCAGGAAAGGCATCATTTTCAGATCTTGATGAATTGAACCTCTGTGTTTGTGGCCCAGCTGGGGACAGATGAGCCTCTCACTCTCAGTGTGGTGCTGCTTCACCCGACCCCTAGTCTTTGTTCTCAGAGGGAATTTTCTTTTTCTTTTTTTTTTTTTTTTTAGTTTCCATACATTTATTAGTATGGCACACTGCTGAAGTGTGTATACATTTTTTTTGGCAGAATATATAGATATAGATATAGATATATAGATATATAGATCCACATCTTAAAATCTCCTTCATTTTTGGCCAGTGGCTGTTCATGATGGTAAAAGCTATTTTTTTCCAAAGGTATCAAGATATCACCAGTGTATAACATCTTAATGATAAAACCTCATCCAGACATAAAATCTAGAGTGTTTTATGCTGTAGTTCCCAAGGTCTAGTTCACAGACCACGTGCACCAGGATCAGCCACCAATTCCCTTTAAAAAGGTACAGACGCCCAAGCTTCATCCCAGGGGAGTATGATTGCCAGACAAGTTCAAGAACCAGTCACCTGGAAGGCGATGTATCGAGTGCACATACTCAGACAAGCCTACTCATGTGTAAGCGCCCTTCCTTTCAGTCCAGATGTTGGTAACAGTTGGATAGAAGAGAAATCAGGGTGAGGCTTCCGGTCAGTTTGGTCCCACTGATATCCTAATGTAGAAAAACACAAAACTCACTGCTGTGGTTTGAGTGTAAATACCAAAATTTGTGTGTTGGAATCTTGATGTCCAGTGCAGAAGCGTTGAGAGGCATGTCGGTCCTGAGACAGACAGCCCCATAAATGGTGTAATGCTGTCGCTAAAAACTCCTAGAAGAAATCTGCTCTATTCTGCCTATCTGTGTATGAGGATGTGGTATTTATCCTCTCTTACTTTTCTTCCTTCTACCCTGTGAAGATGTAACAAGGAAACTCACCAGACACCCACACCACAACTTTCAACTTCCCAGCCTCCAGAACTGCAAACAGAACACAAATAATTTTCTGATTTTTATGTTCTCCCCAGTCCCAGGTATTCTGTTACAGCAGAAAAGCAAGACACTGATAGCCTCAAAAGCATTAAGCTCTGCAGCTAATGTAACCACCACCCGACCCTCATGTGCCCAGTGGAGGGGCTAGAGACTTAGCTGAATCCCAGCTTCCTCATTGCTTGGCCTTGTGGCCCTTTGGTTAGTCAGGGGGACAGCTCTGGGCTTCACTTAGCCCAGAGAAATGGGGAAACAAAGTCAGTCTCGTACATCTGTTGCAATGATTAAATAAGAAAGTACATGTGAAACTCAGCAAGATGCCTTTGGTAGAATGGAGAAACTTCCAATAAAGAGAGTTTTTTATGGCTTATTATTTTAGGAAATATTCTTTTCTGATATCACGCCCTGAGGCATCACCACTTGGTTGGCATTGCCAAATGGCAAGAGAAACCACAGAGATGCTGACAACAGATCAACTTCGACCACCAAGGAGCAATATTATAACTTCTTGTGAACTTAACTTTTTGTTTTCACACCATTCTGGGTTGAGTGAACCTCATGAACTCTGTTGTTGCTATTTGTGAACTAATGGGATATCCTGTGACATTGGGGGAACTACACCCTAAATTCCGCTTATCCCAGGCCTGGATGTATGGAATCAGTTCATAAGTCAAATGGGAAGAGAAACCACCAAGAAAAACAAAAAATACATGAAGAGTCCAGGATGTGTTTGAGTAGAGGATTTATTTATTTATTTATTGGCTTATTGGCAGAATGGGAGATTGAACTCAGGCCCTTACACTTGCCAGGGAAGCACTTATTCCACTGAGCAATCTCCCCAGCCCTGGGATGCATTTGAGGAAGTTGTCAATGTGTGCTGTACATAGTTCTTTTTTTTTTTTCTTTGCAGTACCGGGAATTGAACTCAGGACCTTGTGCTTGCCAGGCAAGCACTTACTCTACTGAGCTATCATCACCAGCCCCAGAGCTATCTCTTCGGCCCCTGAGTTATCTCGCCAATACCCATGGTTCTTTGTGGTTGGTGCAACAGAAAGGACACTGATGTCATAGGTGTCCCACAAGTAGGGGAGGGACCTCTGTACTGCCTTTCCTCAGAGCTGTGATCTTACTACTTGCCGTCCCCTGGGTTCCTAGAGAATCATCAGAATAGGAGAGAAAAGGAGATTTTCTGTCATTTCCACAGAACTCATCTCAGACGTCCATGGGCTATCTCCACTGTGGTCGAGGTGGATGCCGGCTGTGATGCACTGTAGGGAGGAGACTCTCAGACCCCTCACTGTGTGCTCAGGGTTATGACAAGAGCTTTCTCCTGTAGTCCCTGCCCCTGCCCAGCACAGCAGCACACATTGCCTTTACCAGAAAGGCAGCTGTTTGTTACTAATGCCCCAACCCTTAGTGGTATGGGCGCTTGGTGGAGCTGCCAGAGAGGAGGGCCAAGCCTTCTCACACCTTAATGTGAGCCCTGCACCAAGGGCAGATGCCACTGTTCCTGCAGGCCTTGTCTTGGGTGAGGTGCCATCTTCCCCATCCTCTTTCTCCTTGTGTCAAACTTACTCATACTCACGATATGTCTGAAGGGAAGGAGCAGGTTCTGAACTCGCTAGCAGTGGTTCCTCCCACAGGTTGCTGTTTGCACCATGTGACCATGCTGGGTCCACTCAGCCTTGACAGTGCACCTTCCCCTCCTCCTCAACCTCTTGGCCTTTGCATCTTGGGCTGGGGCTGGATACTGGGGAATCTCACTTTCCAGGCTCATGCTTTGGATCCAATGGAAAAGCAAACCGGCTGGAGTATCCTGTCATGGGCTGAGAGTGGCTGGGAGGGTCATCAGCTGGGAGAAGCCATTTGGCCTCAACTAGCTCTGTGTTCCAGCTGTCCTCTGCGGCCTTCCATGCACAGCACATCCACAGACTCCACAGGCCCTGGATCTCCTGTCTTTCTGCTTATTAACATCCAGTCAGATGCTGGGCTGTTTAGAAGCTTCCCGTGACTGCTCTCCCAGGTTGAAGTGTCCCTATCTAATTGGTTTTTAATTCCAGGACAGCTCAGGTGCTGCAGTGCTCTGCCCCCTGCCCCCCAGGTTTCCTGATTCTTGTTGCCCACAGCCAGTGCCAGGTGTGATTTAGCACTCTGCACTCACAGAGTGTGTGCCTGATGGGTGCTTGGAGCAAGTGAGTGAAAGAAAGCACACTAGGGATTTGCTTGGCAACAGTGTTTTGCCAGCTGAGACGGAAACAAACCCAAACTGGAGTCAAGTTGCTACAGCAACCCATGCACTTTGCCTCAGCAAGGGGGTGCCACCAGGTTAGGTGAAGGGAGAGCCCTGTGGCAGAAGCGCTGAGGACAAGGACAGACAAGGCTCTTGGGTGCCCCTGAAATGGTTAAAATGCACCCGAGTTAGGATGCTGGCAGTATTTTCTGTTCTTTGGGGACTTTGTTATAGGGGCAGGTGGTTCTCTGTTCCCCAGGCAGGGGTTCCAGGGTGAGGGTATGAGGAAGCTCTGAAGCTAAGCGAGGACAGGCGGTGACCTGCTCAAGTCTCTTCATACTCCTCACAGCCTTCCTTGCCTCCCTTCTTGCTGAGTCATAATTTGAGTAATGCTGGAAGTCATGAAAGTAATGGCTACAGCAACCAAGGAGCTAGCACAATCCAGGTTATGGGTGGCTCTAACCTCTAGTGGCCCCACAAATGCAGTTTTGTAAC